GCTTCCTCGTTAATCTTCTTTCCCTGTGATCTCTCTCTCTTGGAGAGTGGTGTAAAGTCACCTACTATTGATGAGCCTGTGGGTTGTTTTTTTTCATCTTTTGGAGCATTTTATTGACAAATTTCATGGGTCTCTTTGGGTACGTATATATTTATTGCGCTCACTGATTCTTGGTCTACTGTTCTCTTAAGCATTATATAGTACTCCTTCTCTTGTTATGGCTTGCACCTTGAGATCAATTTTGTCAGTTAGGATAGAAACCCCTGATTTTTTTGAATTGCTATTTGCTTGGTATATGTTCTTCAAGTCTTTGACTCCCAGCCTGTTTTTGTCTGGTATCTTGCGATGTGTCTCTTGTAGGCAGCAGAATGACGGGTTGTTTTCTAAGCCAGTCTGCTAACCTCTGCCTTTTAATTCCTCACAGTTCAGCCCACTAATGTTCAGAGTTATTTCATCCATTTGTGGATTGTGTGACATCATTGTGTACTTTCTTCGCTGGGTGTTTTCCTACCTCCCTTCTTATCAGTGTTTTGTAGAGCGGAGTTTCTTTTAACACATTCTTTGCGTTTTTCCTCGTCCGAGGAAACTATTCGTCCTCAATCTACCTTGACAGATCATTTGGCTGGATTGCGTATTTTTGGGTCTGTGTTATTTTCATTTAATCCTCGGAATATGTTACTCCACTCTTTCCTTTTCTTCATAATGTCTGCTGATAGGTCTGAGCATATTTGTATTTGGGTACCTTTATAGGGGACAAGGGGGCTTCTTTTTTCCCTCCTAGCTGCTCTTATGATTTTCTCTTTTTCCTAAAAGTTGGAAATAGTTGGTTAATTATTATAAACTTTGGTGAATTATTCTTGGGATTCAGTCTAGCTGGTGTGCTTTCGACTTCCTAAATGTTTGCTTGATTTTCATTCATTAAGCTGGGGAAGTTTTCCTCTAAAACAGTTTCCTCACTACTTTTCTGCCATTAACTTTTTCGTTGTATCTTGTTCCGCTAGTCCAATTATTAAAATATTATTCCTCTGCATAACATCAGACATTGTTCTCAGGGATTTTTTGGCTTCTCTAATTATCTTGTTTGACTGTCCCTCTTGTTGAAGTCTGCTTGGTATGATTCTCTGCATCGTCTAGTCTGTTAGTGAAGTCTGAATTTGTCACTTGCTTTTGTTACATCATCCCTTAACTCTTATATTTCACTTTGGTGCATGGCATTTATCTCCTCTATCATTTCATCCTTTTTCTGTATTGCTTCCTCATCCTATATGCCTCTTCTATAAACAGTGTTAGGTTCAGGACATCTGACACTGGATTTTGTTTCTGTTTTTTCATTGAGGTTGTTGAGGAAGCTTGCTGTCCACGTTTCGTTTTGGAGGAATTCAGCACAACTTTCCTGGGAGTCAAAGAGCCCTGGGCTCTTTCAGGGGTTAGTGGAAATGCTTC